AAAATATTGTATTTCAGTGATAATGATATCACAAGAGTCAGTTTTCCACATGTCACTAATGGCTACCATATTGAAGAAACATAAGAAAACATTTTAGCATATGAAACCCATAGATCACAACTTATTTCATTTAAATTAATCATCATCATAATCTACTATGTGTCATGTCATACATATTTAATATTTTTAATTGTTTTATCAACCAGTTAAGTTTGGGAATTATCATCTTCAACTTTACAGATATGGAAATTGAAGCTTAAATGGGTTAACTTGTGTAAATTCACACAAGTACGAAAGAGCTAGAATTTGAGCCTATCTCTACCTAATTCAAAAGCCATGCTCTTGTACCCAATATCAGTGCATTCTTCCAGAACCACTCTTAGACTGCTGCTTTGAAATATTTTTATTCTTAGATGCCATTCCATTAAATAAGCTAGCATAGTGGTCATGCATAAGTAAGAAGGGTATAAAGTTTTTCAAGATAAAAGAAATGAAATAACAAATGGAATTACATTTATGTATAAAGCAGAGTGAGTTGGTTTTCTCAGCGTATTTATTTTGGTGAATGAAAAATTTATTTAAAAATCAATGGTATTGGAAAGTAACAGTTACAATAGTTTTAGATTATATGATAACCTACATTGCAGTTTCAATGCTAGGTACATAGTGTTTTTGTTCTGCTTGTTTTAGTTTTATATTATGGAAATAATAAAAAAAAGTTTATTTTTTCAGTCAAAGTTAATGACATCATAAAAACGATTAATGGTTATAAATAAATGAAATCCTATCAAAGAACACTAGGCACTGTGTTAGTCTGCTCAGTCTGTCATAACAGAATACCACAGGCTGGGTAGTTTAAACAGCAGAAATTTATTTTCTCACATTTCTGGAGACAAGAAGCCCAAGAACAAAATGTTAGAAAATTTGGTTGGTTGTGAGCCCTTTCTTCCTGGCTTGCAGACAGCTTAGCATCCCATCTTTATGATATCATTAAACATAATTACATTGTTTTCTTTTTAATATTTATTTTATTTTTGAGAGAGAAAGACAGAGGGATCCCTCACACGTAGGGGAGGGACAGAGAGTGAGAATCCAAAGCAGACTCTGCACTGTCAGCCCAGAGTCCAATGTGGGGCTCAAACTCATGAACCATGAGATCATGACCTGGGCTGAACTCAAGAGCCGGACACTCAACCTACTGAACAATCCAGGTGCCCCAACCATAATTACATTCTTAAAGGTCCTGTTTCCAAATACAGTTGCACTGGGGGTTATGGCTTTAACAAATAAATTGGAGGGAGACCCAATTAACTCCATAACAGGCACAAATGACAAAAAAAAAAATTAAGCATATTGTTTCAAATAGAGTGATAAATTTATTACAAACTATAATACCTGTTTTCAAAATAGTTTTTACAAGACATATGGCATTGTTATGGGCTGAATTGTGTCCCCTCAAAAAGTCATATGTTGAAACCCTAACATGGTACTGCAAAATTGGACTATACTTGGAGTTAAGGCCTTTAAAGAGGTGATTAAGATAAAATGAGGCCATTAGGTGGGCCCGAATCCAATCTGACTGATGTCCTTATATGAAGATGAAATTTGGACACACAGACACCAGGGGTGTGTGTACACAAAGGGAAGACCATGTGAGAGGAGGTAGCTGTCTCCAAGCCAAGCAAAGAGGCCTCAGAAGAAACCCAATCTGCCAACACCTTGATCTTGCACTTCTAGTCTCTGGAACTGTAAGAAAATATATTTCTGTTGTATAAACCTTCTAGTCTGTTATGGTAGCCAGAGCAAACTAATACGGATATGAGGAAATAAGTGCTTTAATAATTAAAGAATTTATAGGTTAGTATTATAAATAAAGTTCAATGTATAACTTTCATAGTACAGACTCCACATTTTCCCAACTTGATCCTCTCTGACTGGCTACACCTCCTCTCCTGGAATGCAAATACTTTATGTTTTCTTCTCTTATCCCTAATTTTTCATATCTCACAAATTTTTTTCCATTCTTCTATGACTACCCTGAGACTCAATTTCAAAGTTTTCTTCCTGTTACCACACAAGCTCAAAAAGCAAATGTCTGTGAAAGACAATGTTAATAAATAAATATTTAATGAACATTGGTTCCACTCTGTGTTATGAAGGATGCTGGGTGTCAGAGATGCCAGATGAATGAGAAGTGCTTCCTACCCTTAACATGCACGCAAATTAGTGGGGGTACACTGACTCATAAATAAGTCAGTGGTATGAAAATAATTTACAAAGTTATACATAGCCATGCTGTTTTCCTTAACTGATATAATCTTTCTCATTCGTTCAACCAGATGGGGCACAGATAAACAGGAAGAAAACATAGACTTGAATGTTCACATATCTTAGTTTTTCCTAAACTTAACAGTCTCTTTACAAGTAATCCTGTGCTTTGGGATAAGCAATCAATTTCAGACCTCTCGATTCCCGCACAAGATGGCACCTGGGAAGAGGCAGATATATTGTCTAATAAATAAAGCTTCAATTTCAGGTTTCCTCACTTTCATGAGTCTCTTCTAAAGCCGTGTATATATCCGTATATCTAACTTTTATATTTTTAATTTGATATTTTGTTAAGGAAGGATCTCCAAATTGGGTAAGGCCTCTCAGAACATGGATCAGTCCTATATTTGGGTTCACATGAAGTAGGTGAGAGGGACTTTTGTATCTGTACAAGCAGGTTTGTGATTACTTTTCTGGATCCTCAGTCTCTTTGGCAATGTTCCCTATCTCTGTCTGGAGCTTAGCTGCCATGTGGGTGGGCATTTGCCACTGAGGCCTGAGATGAAAATCTCGCGTCTCTCCTCTTAGCCCCATTGAGGACCAAGAGGTCCCTCATAACTGACTTAGCCCCATCCCAGTCCTCATATATTTGTCATTCATACTGTGGCTTCAGAGCCAGCCATCTCCTCCCCTTCTGCGTCTTCAGTGGCGTCCCTGTCATTAGTCAGCCTCTAGAACAGGAGGCCGGGTCTTAGCTCAGTTTCCTTAGGTGACTTCTTTGCTCTTCTCAGAGTGTGTCCCTGTCAGGCCGCCTTCACAGAGACAACCTCTCCAGGAAGAAAGGACCTGGCCATTGCCATTTCCCTCCCGCCCCTCGGCATAAACACAGAGCCAGCCACCTGGGAAAGCAGCACAGCAAGGACACTGGCTGCCTAACTTGCTTACACTAGCCCCACCCCACATTCTTCTAGTGGAACTGCCATTCTCAGTCAAGCTGGCCTCAGTCCCAGCCTGGGAGACCCCTCCCCCGGAATACCATCACAAACCCCAGCCCATACCACATCTCCTGACCAGAGTTTTGCAGGGTTTCAATTCTGATGGAGGTGGAGCAAATAATCGCCCCACTGTGTGCCCCAGCCACTCTTCAGCTGTTTCCACACTGTATGCCCTTGGATTGTTTGCCCAGCTTCTCTCCTAGAGCAGCACAGTGCCCTCCAAGCTCTATCACAGCCAAGACTGCTCATCTTTAAAATTCCAGGGTTTAAGCCCATTGGTGGCAAGAACTCACGAAATTCAGCTCCAAAATTCAGCTCCGAAATTCAGCTCCTCTGGTTCCTCTCATTTTCCAAACCAATGGTTAGGGGGAAACATTCTCCTTGTGTGTTTCCCTGTGTGCTCCTCTGGCTCTCACCCTTCTCGGTAACGACGGCTGCCTCCCCTCTGTAGCAGCCAGGATCTATTTCTCCCCTAAACCACCTCTCCACCCTTCCCACCTTCTTCAATATGGCCTCTTTTCTCCCTTTAGCTGTGTAGTTCTGTCAGTCTTCAGGTCAGTTTCTGGGGGATTGGGGATCATTTGATAGTTATCTAGTGTTGGTGGGATGAGGAGAGCCTAGGGTCCTCCTACTCTGCCATCACCTTCCTGTCTCTCTGTACTATGTCTAACTTTTAAGACCATAATGTTGCCAGGGACTCAAAAATTCTAATTTGGAAATTAAAAAAAAAACCTGAACACCAAATCTTTCCTTTGAGATGCCTCTTGTTACCCTCCATCCCCACCCCCCCTAAGGTAGCTGAACATCTCTGGCTAACTATGGAGTAGATTTCATACACAAAAAAGAACCAATTTAAAAACTAATATATTTCAAAATATATGAATCCTATTGCATAAATAATTACAAGTAACAAATGCTATTTTAGTGGTACAGGAACATGATTAGATGGAACAGTAACACTGCTTATGGATGTTCCAGTGGTTAAGGATACTGCAAATATAGGCAGACAAAATAATATAAATCACCAACACTCTCCTCAGACTTTTAATAAACATTGCTTTTCCATTTCTTGCTCACTCACCATTTAATCTCTGTAGAGGAATACAGACATTATAATGACAAGTATTTTTCCTATATTTTCTATCAACCATTTACGGAAATTTTCACTTGCTGATTATTTTAGTACTAAAAACCTTACCAATGCAGACTAAAAATTCACAGTGTAACTTGAGCTTATATGAACAGTATTCTGAGAAATAAACTTACTGGTTTCATTCCTCTTTAGTTCTATGGATTTATATATTTATCTATGTGAGAATTCTCAAAGTGAGGTCATGGACAAGAAGAATCAGTATTACTTAAAACTGTTATAAATGCAAATTCACATCATAAACTCTGTGGGTTAAGGGCCAGGAACTCACTTAACATGCTATCATAATGATTTGGATGGATGATAAAGCTTGAGAATAATTGCCTTAGACTATCAATCCCATAGCTCATGAAATATTTATTTTCTATTATTTTTCTATTATTTTTTATTACTTTTACAGATATATATATATGTGTGTATATATATATGTGTGTGTGTGTGTGTGTATATATATTATATATATAATATATATAGGAAACTTAGTAAATATTTTATAAAAAGATAAATGATACCAAAATCTACCCATCTACTTATATATCTATCCAAGCCAATATTACATGTTTAAATTAGCATATCCATGCTCTTACTTGAGAAAGTCAAGAAGTGAAGAATGTTGAAAATGAAGTTGAATCACCCTTTCAGTATAATCCACAGGTAAAGACTGACTTGAATGAATTCCAGGTGGCCGTTTTCCACTCAAGTGTAGTATCACATCATAAATGGTCTTATTATATTTGGAAAAGTCATTCAGTCTGGAAAGTTTTTGGGATGGCGAGGCTGATGAGTAAAATTGCATTTTATACACCTCCCTATGAGAAAAAAATTTTGAAATTTAAAAAATCTCATGTTATATTATGAAAAAAATGTTCAATGACTAAATAAAATTCTATTTACAATCAAATAAGGCATTATAAAGCTCATCTTATTCAGCTACCATTTGTTAGTAAAAATTAGATGTTTTGATAACCCCAGAAGTTTCCATATCGTCTTTTATTTTTTGTTGTTGTTAAATTTTTTTTTAATGTTTATTTATTTCTGAGACAGAGAGAGACAGAGCATGAGTAGGGGAGGGGTAGAAAGGGAGACACAAAATCAGAAGCAGGATCCAGGCTCTGAGCTGTCAGCAAAGAGCCCGACGCGGGCCTCAAACTCACAGACCTCGAGATCATGACATGGGCCGAAGTTGGACACTTAACCAACTGAGCCACCCAGGCACCCCTCCATATCTTCTTTTAAACACACATTATTATCTAACATTACAATTGTCAAGTCTGTAAGACTGGATTGTGATTAGAAAATGTAAGTACTTTGGAGAAACAGTATAGGGATTAAGTCCTGGACCCAGCAACTAGTAGCTGGTTGCAAAGTTATCCAAACTCACTGAACTCAAATTTGATACCATTTAAATTAAAGATAATAGGGGCACCTGGGTAGCTCAGTCGGTTAAGCACCTGACTTTGGCTCAGGTCATGATCTCATGGCTCATGAGGTTGAGCCCCACATTGGGCTGTGTGCTGACAGCTCAGAGCCTGGAGCCTGCTTCAGATTCTGTGTCTCCCCCTCTCTCTGCCCCTTCCCCGCTCACTTTCTCTCTCTCTCCTTCAAAAATAAACATTAAAAAAAATTTTTTTTAAATAATGCCTATAATAGTTTTCAAAACAGATGTCAAACAATCAGCACACATGTATACACAAAAACAAATTTACACATATATTTCAATTTAAATTTTAATCATTAAAAGGACACATCCTGCAAATTGGCCTCACGAGTGGAGATTCACATGTTAAAGATAATCCCAGAGAGCTATTGTTCCTATACATGTCTCTGTTCTTTATATAAGACAGTGCAATCTCTATTACCTGATACCTCCTTCAGTGAATTATAATGCATGGTAATTTTTAAATGGAGTAAAAAAAATCCAACCAACTCTTGCTGTCTATAGTTTATTAATTATCTAATACTACACTATCTGTTGGCTAGCCATCAAAATGTATTGATGAGAAATAAAAAGTGCTCAAGGGACCATTTTGAATGGCAGTTGTCCAGTTTGGTAGCTAGTAGGTCTGTATTGTTATATTACAGGAGAAAGTATATTGATTTACGTAAGGGTACAACTGCCATTACTCAAACTCTGGCTCTTACTCTGCGGCTTTATGGAAGTTACTTGACATCTCTGTCATAAGTAATATATCTAATAGAGCTGGTATATCCTGAAGTTACCAACAAACAAATATGTCATGGAAAAAAATGAACACCCTAAAATATTGCTATAAAAATTATGAAAAAGATAAACGATCTAAACAGAAATAAAACATAACCAGACTATAACTAAAGAAGGAGAAAAAGCAACAAGTTGAATAAAAAGAGAAAGAAACAATACATAATATAAACAGACACACAGTGGCCCCACAGATTATAGCTTTGCTTTTTTAAAAAAATTTATTTATTTGAGACAGAGAGAGCATACACTCACGCATGCACACACACAAGTGCAAGTGAGGGAAGGGTAGAGAGAGAGGGAGAGAGAGAATCCCAAGCAGGTTCTACACTGTCAGAGCAGAGCCAGACACGGAGCTCAAACCCATGAACCATGAGATCAGACCTGAGCTGAAACCAAGAGTCAGAAACTTAACCAAATGAGCCACCTAGGTGCCCCCAGATTATAGTTTTAAGACACAGATATTACTTATTTTTATTTATTTAATTTTAGAAAGAGAGAGAGAGGGAGAGTGGGGGAGAGGGGCAGAGGGGTAAGAGAAAGAATCTTAAGCAGGCTCCACATGTGGTGTGGAGTCCAACGTGAACTCTATCCTATGACCCTGGGATCATTTCTTGAGCCGTACATTCAACCAAGTCACCCAGGTGCCCAAGACACAGATTTTAAAGCAATTATATGTACTATGATTAAGATTAAGAATTTTGTCATCAGGGTATGTGGGTGGCTCCATTGGTTAAGCATCTGACTCTTGATTTTTGGCTCAGGTCACGATCTTGTGATTTGTGAGTTCAAGCCCCACATCAGTCTCTGAGCAGCCTGCTTGGGATTCTCTCTCTCCCCCTATCTGTTCCTTCCCCACTTCTCTCTCTCTCAAAATAATTGAATAAACTTAAAAAAAAAGAATTTTGTCATCAAAAGCTTCAGATTCTGTGTCTCCCCCTCTCTCTGCCCTTCCCCTGCTTGTGCTTTGTCTCTCTCTCTCGCTTTCAAAAATACACAAACATTAAAAAAATAAAAAATATATATAAATAAATGGAAAATTTATACACAAATCCAGTAAGTAAAATTATGAAAGCAATGACTGAACAGCCGACTAAATCAAGTGAAGAGAAAATTGATGCAATGAAATATAGGCCATAGGAAAGCATCCATACTGCAACACAGAGGGACAAAAGGATGAAAAATACAGAAGAGTGACCAAAGCAGAGGGGCCCAAAAGAATGAGGTAGTCCCATAATTGAAAGGATATTGACAACTTTCCAAAATTGACAAAAAATAAAAACATAGACGAAAGAATCACTATGAACCCTGATAACTACAAAGAACAGGCTCTTTACGATACATTTTCAAACAACCAAGAACATGTGAAAATTTTCTTAATATCAAGAGCAGTAAGATGTTAGTTCAAACCACATACATTAGAAGGAGGTGATACTGAAAAGACGCACAACATTAACTATTTCTTAGGATAAAGAGCAAGTGGAACTTGCATATTTGACCTGTGGGAGTTTAAATTGGTACACCCATCCTGGAAAATTGCTTAGAAGTATCTTCTAAAGGTGATCATATTTCTAAATTCCTTTTTTATTTATTTATTTTTTTGAGAGAGAGAGAGAGAGCATGAGCAGGGGAGGGGCAG